CTGTTGATGTTTTACTTGATCCAAGTCTTTTACTTTTCTCTCCTTCTTTCCCTCTTTGTCCTCTTGTAATTGTACCATAGAAACTTCAGTGTTTACATCCTGTGTGCCTTTCAAGAAGACCTTGTTTATTCTTGAGAGTGCCGGTGTGTGACTCTCTTACTATCATTCTGGAGGAAATACCATGAGTCGCGTGCCAGTCGCAGCTAACCACAAACCCAAGCTGGGTGGAGAGGGCATTTTTCATATAAATCATGGAATATGGCTGTGAGCGAGCCATTGCCAGGCTGAGTGAACAGCCATAAATAGATTCCCCTTGCATGTAGTAACAGCTTTGAGCAACACAAAGGCAGACTGTAGTAACCATTGCCTGTGGTAGAGCGGGAAAAAAAGGGCTCTTATTGTTTGTGTGCGTTGCAGAGTTAGTCATAAGGTATGACCAGGCTGTCAAGTTCAATCCATGAAGCTTTGAACTTCTGAATCTGTTTTGAATGCTTGAAATACCCTGAATTTCCACTTTAGTCCTCTCCTCCCAGCATCAGAAGGCTTAAAAGTGTGACAGAAAACTCCCTTAATGAACCCCACTTGAGGTATTGGGGACCAGCGGCTCTGACACGCTTTGGTCTTCAACAAAACACTCTCAGACTCTGCTCTGTCTAGCTCCATTTCCCAAGATTGCTCACATCGCATGACATAAATGGAACTCCCTGGGATATATATCTAGTGCTGCGATGAAAGATACTAAAATAATGTCAGAGGTGGTTAATGAGGGCTCTTTGAGCAAGAAAGTGTGACAGTACAAAGGCTGCAAGGAACAAAGACTGATGTGGAATGTTACTAACCTGGAAGCTAAAGTCATATGGGGATAATCGGTTCCAGCGATGCATAAATTACAAAGGAAGGAACAGTGATGGTCAGCAGCACGGTCAGAAACAAGATAAAAAGAGAGAAAAAAGAATCAGATCAGTATGCGTGTGTGTCATGCCTGTTGGGTGTCTTATCAGTGCTGCTGGAGAGGTCAAGTCAGGACACAAATCACACCCCCAGACTCGGCTGTCTCCTCTCAACTTACACAACAGTTGGGCTACATCTGTTTCTCTTTTACTCTCTCTGTCTCTCTGCATCTTTTTCTCTTTGACTGTCTTCCCACTCCTGAAGTGTGTTGTTTCATAGTGACGTTTGTTGGCCCAAAAGTGGACTTGGTACATGATGATGTGATGTAATGACGCAATAGAATGCAATTAATCATCAGGCATGCACAGGCTTTCTATGGGACAGGGAGCAAAAAAAAAGTGGTATATCAATAGTGCACTGTGAACCAACCACAGAGTAACCCGGGTTTACCATTGGGAGACTTGTGCCAACCAAAGGGTCACTTGGGCTTACCAAAGGGCCACTTAGAGCAATCAAAAGGGCACTTGAGCCACCAGAGGGGGACTATAGTCGACCAAAAGAGGATTTGGGCCAACCAGAAAGACACAAGTGCTGACCAGAGAGTTACTGCAGTAGCACCGAAATTTCACTTGAGCCGGAAGAGCACTTTGGTCCGAGCAAAAGGGGCATGAGATCAAACTAGGGGGATTTTGGGCCAACCGGAGGGATGCTTGGGCTGAGCAAAAGGGGTATTTTCAACAACCAAAGGTTTACTTGAACCAACAGGAAGGGAATTTGGGACAACCAAAGGGCCACTTAAACCAACCAGAGGGACACTTTGGACAACTAGAAGGGCACTTAGACCTACCAGAGGGTCACGTGTGCAAACTATGGACACTTTGACCAACTAGGAGAGTGCATGGGTCAACAAAAAAGCTATAAAGAGCCCTTGTAACTAGAGGGCATATCCCTGTTAAATATTTTGTTAAATTTTAAATAGATATAGATTGGCGTATCACTCCATTTGATATTATGAGATATTGGTCTTGTTCTGTCTCATAGGTCCAGCAAGAGAATTGATGTTTCAGTTTTTAACACATCATAACATGTTGCAATTATGACTTTTCTGTTCACAAGGCCTTCACGGAACAAAAAGAATATATTTAAGCAAGACTATGACGTATAACAAGCAGGTAAACAAATCTAAAAACACCAGATGAACTGATAAACAAATAAAATAATGTGCTGAATTCTGTTGGGTCAATAGCCGATGTGCAGTAGGGAGGCTCAGCTGATGCTGGTGACCACCCATGGGTTCTGTCATCCACGTCGGCACTTCACTAGTTACAGGCCCCATTGCTTGGTGTCTTTTGGGTCCAAAGTCTCTCAGAGACTTATTTGTGTCACCCACAGAGCCCTGGAGACACACCTGCCAACACCTACACACACACAGTCGTGTTCAGGCTTGTATGATTGCTGGAAAAGATAAGTACAGTAGATACAAGTCTGCAAATGTAATTTTGTGTTTTCCTATTTACATTTTCAAATTGGTTCAGTTGAGTCTCTTTGAAATATGTTCTGTTAAGTTATATAATCAAATTCTTTAGAATGTTATTTTCTAGCCTGTTTACACAGTTAGAGTCCAATAGGATTCAGATTTAAAGATATTTTGTGCAATACAGCTCTGTAAGTCTTACATCTAAATCACAGACTAATCTGGTAGTGTTATTGAACTAGTCATTGGATTTAGTCCAGAATGTGGTTGATTCTGTTGAGCTTTTTGATCCAGTCTAATGATTAATTTTCTCTTTTTTTATATACAGGAGTGTATTAACCCACTGTACAGTTGTTAGAATGTAAAACTTTTCACCTTAAACGATCAAAGATTTGTATGACTACATCACACATGTCCCTTCACAGATACCTCTTGTTTTTGTGATCAACAGTAAATACTCTTTATGTCTTGAACTAGAATATTTATGGATTTTCTAACATTTTTTTTTCTTCCTGAAAACACATTTTGTTGTATATGATTTAATGAGACATTAAGACATAAGACACACAATAAGCAAATTCTTTTATTATTTTCAGGAATGTTATTAGAGAGTTAAAACCCAAACAAGCACATTGTTAACAGGCAACACCAGGAAGTGGCTTTCATGACAGGTTTGACTACTGGCCACAGTATTCTAGGATTGAGAATGTCTGTGTGTTAGCCAATGTTGACTCAACTGTCCTGCTATGGGAATGACAAGAATTCAAATTTTAGGAGATTTTTTTTCATGGTGCAACTTCTCCGTCATATCAGAATTCTGCACTTTGACTCATTGTTTTTGATTCAAAATATGGGCATGGGGAAATACTAGCTGTAAACAGAGGGAAATGTGAAAACACAAAAGCAGCGAAGAGTGTGAACTCCATGGCATATTACTATGTCCTCACACTGCATCTGTGTCCTGACATGGCCCCAACCGTCTAACCGCATTTGCCTTCTCGCACTCAGGGGAACATAAGGATCGCATATGCCTTTGGCAGGAGTCCACACCCACATTCCTCAGCTATGTGCTCACAAGCGTCCTCTCTGCCCCCCTCTCCTCCTCCCTCCCACTTCGTTCTGACACCAAAACCTTGGCCCACATTGCTGTGCACTGTAAAGAAATGCAAACACATTTTTTCCCTGGACACTGGGGGAGGTGAAACATACAGCATGCCACTTATTGAACTAAGTTGAGCCTTCCAAGCTCTCCTCAACATGCTACTGACTAATCTGATTGATATTCATATGGATTATGTTGGTTTGTCTAGGTTCTGGGATGGGATGGGACCTAGATTCTGATACTGATTTCACAGAAATTCTCTTCAGTTTGAAATGCAGCCCTGTAGGAACGAGTAGGAGAAAAACATGGTAAAGTAAGAAAAACCCTTGAGCAGTGCAACGAGTCTGCAACTTCTGAAGAATGCTTTTTAGCCAGGGCTTTTTATGAGACTAGTCCCCAGTGGCTTGTCTAGTTAAAGGTTATCTTTTACTTACAACTCAAAGTCAAAGACATTGGGGCCAGAGAGGCTGTGCAGTTTGCTGTCTGGGGTGACTGGGTTCAATGGTAGGGGGTGCATGGTGTGGAATGTGGCTGTAAGGAAAAGCCAGGAGGAATCATTATAGGGAAGAAATGAGACGCCAGAACTGTGAGTACAGCACAGAAGTAGATACTTTTTAGTCTTTTATAAAACAAGCCTCTGCACATGGCTTAAATCTCCTGTTCTGGGATCCTTTATCCTCCTGTGTCAATGTGCGCTTTCAAGTTTTCAAGTGTGGACAATTTATAGAAAATGAAAGCACTGAATATACTTTACTCTGCATATACTTTGATTTTCAGACTCTGGGTTGATGGCTATTTAAAATGTTTTTGCCATCTGGCTCATGACTTCTTAATTGTTTCTATCACAAACATAGCTGATGCTACATTATTTCAAATTCTACTACACTTTTCTAATAGCCCTCCACAACTAGATGTCTTGTCAAGTACTGTAGGTCTTATTACACTACATGAGTCACTTTGACCTGGAAATGTCAGTTGGCTTATTTGTTGGAACAAAAATGTGACCTCAGGCCAGACAACCTCAGACAGTCATCTCCTGCAAATACCAGTTGAGGTATTAGTACTCAGCACTAAAGAAGAAAAGAATAATATCATTGGAGTTTTTGATATACAATAATTTGTGTTCCTATTAGCGACTGACTACTCTGGAGGCAGGAATCAATAGTGGTGGCTAAAATGCCCAGAGCCATAGGTTATGGCTTTTTTCCCCTCTCTAGTTACGATATTAGCATGATTATAAATACATGTATTAGAAAAAATTGACAAAGACGTCAGTTGTTATTTGGTCCCACCAACTGATGCTTCACACAACTAACTAGATTACTTCTATGTAACACATTAATGTAAGCTCAATGGTCCACTTACTAGTTTTTAGCCTAATCTCCCAGACTTCTTCAGCAAATGGGGACAAGCTGTGTCTGCCTGCATTGCAGCTCCACCTCTACGTCGTGTTTGTACCAAACCAAAACTCCACTGATACCGACTTCTGCACGCAATATCTTTGTTGTTGTTGAATGACAAATCTGAGACATCTTTAACACAGAAGTACATTTATTCAGGTCTTAGTACATTAATATTGAACAGTTACATATTCTAATTGATTGCAAATCACACAGCACAAGTCCAATTTATTTCTGTATATAAGTTAAATGTAACAGATTTTTATTTTAAAATATGTAATGGGAACTCTTCCTCTTGTTATGAGGAGCACTTTGTTATAAAATGTAAGTAAAAGTGCAATATCTTTCTACTCATAAAATTACAAAAATTGGTCCAGAATCTGCATTCTGAGCAGGACTGACGGACTAAATATTGTGTTTCTCATTTTAAAAATGCAATATATCTTTACTTTTTTTCAGTAATTTGCTTTTTGATGCTATTTTCTAAAAACTGTAGCTAAATACAAGAAATACAACATTGTCAGTTTACAAAAGCTTAGCATATTAATCACTGCATCATCTATTTTCTAAATAAACTTCATTTTTTTCCCATATAACTATCTGGAACATTGAGTTTTGACAACAACAATACCATAATATCTCACAGCGCTATGTTACAATAAAATATCTCTGTCATAAGTTCAAAGAAAAAGAAAATATAACAATAGCAACATAAAATTAAGGAATACAATGCATAGATTCAATCATTTAAAAATGTAGAGATATAATTTACTTAGTACAGCTCTTTTACTTTTAGAGTGAACCCTGTGACACTGACTACATGGATTCATTACAGTTTATCCTGACTTGAGTGACCGGCACAAATATATATAATTCTGAACATATCACATGATAAAAATGCTTAATATATCACTTTAACTTCAAAAGGCAAATTTGGCTATAGTACACTATGGCATGTTGGGTAAGAAAAGGCAACACCTGGCACCAAAGCCAAACAGCAGCTTCTTTAACAGCTTCTCTACAGGGCCTTTTGAAATGTTAAGAATTTCATTTACCTGCCGCGCTCCCTGGCTTTCTTAAAATCTATGTCAGCGGTGTCAGATCGTGTGCCATTACTGGTCTGGAGTATGCAGGTTTTCGTTTCAAGCAAACACCAGAACTAATTACAGAGCTTCCCCCTCCGGCTGGAGGTGAACTCAATAGTAGAACGACTTAAATAAAAACCTGCATACCCAGAGCCCTTGAGAGCACATGATCAGACACCCACTGACATATGTGGTGTCTGGATAAATCATACAATAAACAATAATGTCGAATAGGCAGTTTCCGTTTTAGGCTATAAGCCACCGAACCAGTCAACTTCATGAGAAGCAGTCATGTTTACAGACACCATCTTCACAAAGGTAGCAACAACCTTGTACACTATTTGTGACTGCATAATAAGTCACTGACAGGCTGACAAGCTCATTATTGTTAGTACAGCAATAAGTGGGAAAAGCAAGTCAGAAAATGCAAATATACAAGCTAGATAAGATACTTAACACTTAGTGGCGCTGTTCAAGGGCAACATTAAAAAATAATGAAAATAGACTTGTTATTTAAAGATGATTGGAGCTATCAAGTAATGTGTTACCGTTATATCAAATGTTTAAAAAGACATAGAGATAGGTAGAGGTAGGAGGGGCAGAGTAAAAGTGGAGTCTCATTAAAAGCAGTAAAGCTGATCCTATTGACAGCATCAGAGGGCTCTTTTGGACAAAAAGGAATCATATTGTACTAAATTAGACCAATAATACTAACCTTTTACGACAAAGAAAATGAAACGAATTCTGAAACTGAACAGGGGACAGGCTGGTTACTCACAGTGTCTTTAATGACAAGGTCTTACACTCAGCCTTGGTGTAAAAAAACAACAGTAGCACTGAGAATATCTTTTATCAAACAAACCTGCCTTGACCTCTTAACATTCACAGCGCTGCAAAGCTATCGGGAAACCTTGACAATAACAATCCATTCACTCATTTCTTCTTGACTTCTAAAAAAAAAGTGAAAGCCGGGAACTGAAAATAAAGAATTCACTGTACTTTTCTTCAAGACTGCTGGATTTGAGTATCTTCTGGACCGTAGACATTTACAGTACAAAACCCTTCAAGCCTGCAGTTGATATCTACTTTGTTAGGCACAATAAATAGGCCCCTGTGGTATTAAGGTTCAGAGTGACGAATGACTCAGAACAATTATGATGTCTGAGTGCAGGTTATGCACCAGCATAAATCTATATTAACCACAAATAATTTAGGTCTCAAATATATACTAAATCTAGTAAACATCTACTACATCATTTTGATATACATTCTTAACGTATGTACAAGAAATCTGAAAGTGTATTTCCATTTTACAGCCTGACTTAGAAGAATCCTCAAGCACAGATCTGACCACTCGACATGTGTTTAAAAGAATCTGATCCAGTTTTCTCTGTTAGCTCATTTCTGCTGCCTTTTTTTGCTTCCGCTCTGTAAACACTATTTACAGTCTTAGAAAATACACTACGAGACCTGATTTTACAAACTGTATGATGACATTATGTACATTCAGGCAATAACAAAGTGAGACATTATGTAACATCATCCGAGGATCCCTTGAGAAGTCTCTCACTTTACGTCATGTCAGTCCACAAACCCATGAGCCAGATTACCTTCATAATTCTTCTGTAGTGGTAACCAATTATCACCACACTGTACATACAAAACGTTTGATTGTGGAAACCCAGTAAACAGCATGGTATGAGTTAGAGCACTTCTACAGATTGTGCTGTTGCTATCTGTAACCTTTATGAGTAAACCAGAGAGGTGTGTTTCAGTTTGGCTCTTACATTAAGGCAAAATGTTTGGCACTTAGTTTGTACAGAATATTTGATATTTCAAAAATAATTCTGATTTCAACTTCACCAGTTCTAGGAAACTAATGGAGATGCATTCTCAGCAGATCATGACCAGTTTCAGTCTCCTGAAGTGACCTGAAAAGTGTTTTTGAAACAGAAATGTTGATGGTACAGAAACTGCAGGTGAAGATGTGATGAGGATACACTTTTTGTCTCAAATGAGTTCTGATTGTGTCTTTTACCAAACAGCAACAGCAGTCATTTGAACTGAACATTTTTCACCCTACAGTTTCTACCCTGACACCCAGCTGTGTGTGGTGGTCTTCACTCCGTGGGGGAAACCTTGTTGGGTCACCATTGGCTCAAAGTTGAAATCCAGAGAGTCTCCGTCCATCAGAGTGTCATGGAGAACCGTCTCCATGTCAAACTCAAACTTCTCGATGGACATGTCATCCAGGTCGCTGGGCAGCTTCTCGGGGTGCGAGGGCTGTGGCAGGCCCGGTCGGCCGTATCCGTTGGTGTTGAGAGGGCAGAAGCCACCAGACATGCCTCCCCCGCTGAGGTGGCTGGAGATGCCATAAGGCATCTGCATAGGGCTTTTGGTTGTAGGGAAACGCGCGGTGCCCCCGCTGTGGCTCAGGGGCATGAGCAAGTGGCCATTCATAGCTGGTGACGAGGCTGGGGCTTGGCTGTGCACATTGTGGGGGTGAGTGTGAGAGAGACCGTGAGGGTGGCCGTTACCTCCTCCCATTAGTTTGGCTGCATGCTGGCTGCTGCTGTACGGCGGCAGCATGCAGCCTCCGCTCGACTGAGACACCACAGTGTCCACTGACGGCATTAGATCTCCGTGCTGGTCTGTATCTGTGGTCAGCAGCTCCTTCAGAAGCCCCGCAGGACAGCTATACTGGCCCATAGTGGGCCCGAAGCTGGGCTTACTCTCTGGCAGTGTCTGCAGCGCCATGGACGACAGTGTGTTCATTCCCGCTTGGCCATACACACACTTGCGGTACTCCTGCTGAGGCTGCGACACCATGCTGGGGGAGCTGTACGTGGGGTACCCAGGGCTCGGCTGCATCATAGGAGAGGGGGAGGACTGGGAGGAGCCAGGGGTCGTCGCCCCTCCTCCAACCTGAGAGTTGTTGGGCGAGAGCAAGTTCAGGTTGTCCAGAAGGTTTTCCATGACATTCTCAGAGCTGTGTCCCAAAGAGCCCGTCATCTCTGTGAGACTGGGTAGCGTGGCCGTCATCTTGGCCCCGGGGGCTCCTGGGTAGCCCATATGCACGTCTGCCTCCCCAAGGTCGTCCTCTGGCATGAAGGGTGAGAGGCGGCCACTCAGAGTGCTAGCGTTGGAGCTGGTCCGAGGCCTGAAGCTGTTCCATGCATCAAAGTCGTCGTTGCTGTGGGAGTTGGGGCTTCCAGGCCACTTGGAGTAGGAGCCAGGGCTGTCTGCACCTCCGTCAGGGCCGCCCTGCAGGGACAGCTGTGGGGAGACAGGGAGACTCTCAGTGCACCAATAGACATACTGTATGTGCCAGAGACAGTCAGTGTAACATTATGTTTTGGGCAGAAACCATTGGCAAGATTGGAAGGCACAAAAAAAAATCTAACACAAAAGTATCCTTGCTAAATGCTGCATCAATAATGTGATAATATCTTAAGAATGGCTGTTCAAAAGATGCTTAGAGACATGTAACGATAAAAACATTAGAATTGTGGATATTACACATTCTTAGTGAATTGCCTTCACCTCTACTATAAGTCCAGATAATTGTATTTGTTAATTGTAATATAGCCATTAAGACCAAGAAAAGGATCATTTAGGCTAAGAATATTACCAAAATCCTACAAGATGTCTTTAGTATGATACAACAGGATTATGTTGATCTATAAACCAACTCCTTTAAAACACACACAAAAAAACAATCACAAATCAGTTACGTTTGTTTAAAAAACAAAAACAACACTGTACACTGTCTATTTTCTCAGATAAGAATTTACAAAAAGGTGAATTCTTGCCATGGTTCAAATAAATATGAGCTGTCTCTGGGCGCCAGAAATATCAGACTTCTTATTTACCTTTTTCTTAGCTGCTCTTCCTCTGCTCTTGGTGAGCTTGCTATTGTTGTCCATGGAGGCTGCCCTACGTCGCGGCGACTTGCCGCTCTTCCCGCCCTCTGGGTTTAGCATCCACCACGAGCTCTTTCCCGTCCCCTCATTCTGGACGCGAACAAAGCGGCTGTGCAGCGACAGGTTGTGTCTAATGGAGTTCTAGTGGAGAGGGATAAAGAGAAAGAGAAAAAAGCTGGGTGAGAAGCAGACAAACAGAGAGATTTGTGTTTGCCCTTTACTCAAAACATTACAGATGTGCTTTAGCATACGAGTGCAAATCCATCTGTACAGGTGGTTCTCTTTTAAAAACACACTCGGCGTGACAGCCAGTACAGAGGAGAAAGGGGAGATTTTAAGGTCACTCAACAATCGAACGTCATTTGCAATTCAAAGAAACACGTGCACAAACACACACACACACACACACACACAATAGGTGTCAGTAAGTTTACTCCATGAGCAATACATCCTGAACAGAGCAAGGATTAAACTGCAGACTCTCTTATCTCCAAAAATACTGTACATGTGGGCCTTCATTTCCTTCAGAAAAACAGAGGGGCCCATTGTAAAACACCATTATACCAACACTCACATTCCACCTGACTACGTGTCTTGTCTAAACCAGCACAGAATCAAAGGGAGGAAACAAACTAATCTTTCCTCCTTACAGACACATTAATAGTGCACTCTAACGTTGCTTAGTGACACCCCCAGTGGAAAAACTAATTTTTGAGCAGGAAGCTAGTGAAGCATTGTTAAAACATGGCAAACAAGAGCGAGAATATTGGGCAAACGTCTGCTAAGCAAACCACAGAAAGTGAGACGCCATTTCTGTCCTACTTTACTGGAACTACTGCTGTACTGGGACACTTGTTTTTTTTTATGATTTCCAAACTTTAAATCAACCTGGATGTTTCGGAGACTATTTACCTGGAGAAGAACTTATACTTGCACTGTATCGTTTCATGTCCTGGCCATAACATGAAGTAATAATGAGCCTTGGCCAGACATTACTGTGCATGCGTAAAGCTTGTTGTTTTGGAAGAAAGACTGGAACTCCCGGCACACACACACACACACAGAGCTTAGCGTGCATAGTGGCTCACGTCATCAAGCCTGTTCCTGCTGTGAGTCATTGCTTCACATCTGGTTCACAGTCTGCCCTCTGCTCTGCCTTTACCTCTGCTTCGTCTCATCCCAACCACCTCTTCTCATTCTTGACTCTCTTTGGTCCCACTCTAACCTACACCACTATTATTATTTTCATCAATTCATTTCTCAACTCTGGGATGAATGATTTGTCTATAAAATGTAAAAAAAAAAAAACAGTGAAAAATGCTCATCATGATTTCCCATAGCCCAAATTGGTTTGGTCCAACAGTCCAAAACCCAAAGCTATAAAAGTCACAATAATATGAAATACAAACAATGAGAAAATTATTGTATTTGTGCTTAATAAATGACAAATATGAAAGGGCTAGTGCCGCCATTCAGTTTTGCACTTCCATGAAGTTGAGGGACTTGAGAGACAAATAAAAAAAAGCTCGCGATTGAAGCACAAGAAGATGAAATATCCTGACTTCAAGTCCCTTGTATGGGTCAAGCTCCCAAAACACTGGATCCTACATTTCCCATAGTGCAACTTGATAGTGTCTTTCATTTGAGTCTCCCTTACTTTTGAATACAGACATCTTTCAAACTCCAAATTTCAAGTTTGTAACAAAGGCTTTCTGTTTAAAGTGTGATCGACCTGAGATAACCCTGATGACCTCATCGGGGTCATTATCCAACTGTTTTCACAGCCTGACTCCTCATGATACGTAAAGTAACCTGCATTTGTAAAAGTGGTGATGTTCCCCTTTAATCAATTAACCGAGCTGTTGTTGATTAACTTTCTGACAATCAGCTGATCAGTTCATCGATTAATCTGATCCCTCAAATACTTTTCCTCCCTTTAAAACCCTCTTTTGTTTTCCTGTCTCATTTTTCTCCTCTTGTTCTTCTTTCTGTATGTACTTTTCCTTCCTCTCCACCTCTCTCCTCTCCTCACTGGAGGACCTCGGGCTCTTGGGCACTTGGGGGCCCTCCTGAACACATGGGCACTTCACAAATGAATGAAATGACGAATCAAGTGACCCGACTGCCTCAGCCAATAGTCTCGGGCTAGTTTGCATGATCTGAGGGACTTGACAGCCCTTCCCCGATTAGCCTAGCAAATGCTTTTCTCTCACCCCCTCCCCCTCCACCCCCTCCACCCCTTCCTCCTGCACATCGGTAGCTATGACAAAAGGCGAGGAGTAAAGTCTGGTCATGAGCCTCTCTTTCCCATGACCGCTGAGAGTGCTGGTAATTTCAGCTGTGCTGCAACATGGAATGACTGCAATGTGAGTGCAGACGCTGGGCTGTCCTGTTACAGCCCTATATCATCCTGATGATAGGAAGGAGAAACGCACAGCTAAAGTCTCCAATATGGACACTCTGGTTTCTAGTTTGCCTTAGGTCACAGTCAATATACGCTAGGTGTTGTGATGATGGAGAACCTTTTAGAACCGGTTTTAAAGTCTTGATGCAAGAGAGGGAGTACAAGTGAAGGGTCATAAAAGCTGCTATGATGGGAAATACCAGAACTCGGCAGAACTCGGAGTGCTGTGTGGGGAGTGCGGCTGAGGGTGTCTGGTGGGGCCAGTGGAAAAGCCTCGTCTCCCACTGTGTGCGTGTGCGTGTGTGTGTGTGTTTGCCAGCTCATGTTTTTAGTGGAATGGCAGTCCAAACAGCAGCGCAGTATGGTTTTGATTTTGTTGCTCGATCCACTGCAGCCAGTGATATTGTGGTTTGAAAACACATGCGATTTAGGATGAACACACGCACACGAACGCACAATCGTTCCCCCGAGAGGCACAAACACGCATAAATGAATGACAAGTATGACACATTGCTCGCTGCATTAGTTAATGTACTTATTTCTTTTGTAATATATTCGATTTTGTACAAATTGTGAGTCTGTTGCTTTTGGATCCTGCAACTGTATGTGACACTAATTTATCTCTGGCTGCAGTACACAGGAATCTTAACATTCCTGCTAATCACTGTGTGCAAAGTTCAATTGTAATCAGAGCCAATGTGTTAGTATCTCTTAGGAAACAGTAAAGGCAGGATTCCCAGCCAGGCAGCCATCACAATCAACATTCCTCAGCAAGGTTACAAAACCCATGATTTCACAGAACTGAACTCTGATTACCGTCGTCTGAGGACGGCCCTATCTTGTGTGTTGCAGAAAAATATGACAATAACACTGTCTCATATCAAAAGTAAGTTTTTTGTTTATTGCCACTAAACTGCAACAAAATGATGGAGACTTTGGAAAAGAAACAAAAGACAGAGTATCCTGCACTCACGAAAAAAAACCATTGTTGTTTGCAATTAATACAAAGTTCATATGAACTCAGGAATGTCATCATAATAAATCTTGTGAAAACAGGTAGTAATCTGACATTACTTTATCTCTGAGGGCTACTCCATGTAGCCAGAGATAATAAAAAGGCTTTTCTCTGTTCTGCCCGAGCCCACCACGAGGAGCACCACCTCCGTTCTCTGAGTCAACAGAACAGAGCAGCGCTGGCAAAACACGAGGAAGTGACCACATGAAAGAGGACTGTGACAGGAAACAGAGCTGACTTCCTGCCTCACAGGAAGCACGGCGGTCGTGAGGCAGAGAAAAAGGCATGGAATGCGAAGCCGCAGTGCCGCGGGCCAAGTGGACACCGCAAATTTAGCTTTCGCCCCCTCCTCTAACCCCCCCACTGCCAGAGAGTTTATGTTTAGCAACAGGCACTAGTCCCTGATGTCACACTATATTTATTAAATGAAAGTAATGTTCACTTTGTCGTGTGACTGCTGAAACTGAATTACATGAGTGGATACGTCATGACTCAACAAGTGGCTGCAGTATGGGCGTCTGGGTGGTGTGAGTGTGTGTGTGTGTGTGAGAGAGAGAGGGGAGAGGGGGAGAGAGAGAGAGCGAGAGCCGGAGAATGTGTTTTGAGTGTAGGCTATTTGAGAAATAGAGAAAGAGGGGTTGTGTGTGACAGAGTGGGCATGGATCAGTAAGGAACACACTGTGCTGGTTTAAACTCCCTCACTGGCAGAACTACTGAAAGACCACAGTGTTCAGTACAACTCTCCTTTCCTTCCTTCTTCACTTCTCTTTATTTCTCGTCTCCTCTCCCTATTTACATCTCCTCTCCCCTTCCTTCTTGCCTTTTCTTCTCTCACCTCTTTTCTACTGCACCCATCTCCTATATTCTATTCTATCATCTCCGCATTCTCTTCTCCCCATCTTGCCTAGTCTTCTGTCACCTACTCCATACTACATCTTCATACTTGCTTCTCCTCTCCTTATTCGTCATCTTGTTTCCTCGCCTATTAACTTCTTCCTTCCCACCTCCTCTTGTCTGTTTGCCATCCTTTTCCTCTCCTACCTTCTCTTGCAGACAGTAGCTAAGAACCTGCAGAAAAATGATGCCAGACACATGCTGGCACACTGACCGAGGTGCTGATGCTCTCAAGCGCTGCTCAAATGTCAACTCGTCTAATGAAAAAATCCCCAGATGAGCGCAACACCACCTACTTGCAGGGCTGCTTTGAATCAAGTGAAGCCACAAGTGAAACCTCAGCTGCAAAGCGCACACAGCTATAGGTATAAAGTGCAGAAATGCTCTCTCCTCACTGACTGAAAGCGCACAGCAGGTACAAACTCACACGCCAGCACTTCTCTGAACAGTTTCACATGCATTTACCAGAGATATGGAACTGATGAAAGTGAAAAGTGTGGTTTCCCTGCACTATTTCCACTGAACTCATTAGAAAAACGGTGCTGTCCTGAACAGGCTTGTTCACCTTTCATTACGTATGTTTCAGCCTTAACAGTAGGTGTGCCCTTGCACTGTAACCAGCTATTTTCTTTGTAATGTCTGCGGCTGTGAAGAAGACAACCTATAGAGTATGTATCGCACCATTTCTAACCACCAAAGTAAGTAGCCCTAAAGCTGTAGCTTGGTCACGTCTGGAGCTTTGTGCTGAGTCTGGTGGAGTTAGAGCAGTGTGGTTAAGACAGAAAACGTGTAAACCTGTTATTAGCCTAACACCCGCTCAGCAGGTCTGCCTGCTTAACAACAGCATGGGGCTGAGTGCACAGCTCCAGGTGAGATGGCAGGGAGACAAGTGACGGGGACCTACCACTCACTTGGATCACAAAATCATCAAAGATTCACGGCAGGTTTTCCCCTTCATGTCAGATACACTTAGTATTCTGTGATACAGAGGCAACTGATTCCATTATGAAAGCAGGTTCGCTAAAGGTGGCGCAGTGAGGTTAACTGGCTGATCAAAGTGATACCACCTGGAACCAGGTAAAGAGCAGAGGGAAGAGGCAATAGTTCTTTTTATAGAGCCAGTTCTTCTTGAAGATACTATCATTTACATAACTTCAAATAGCTTTTTGGTGCCTAGAAAACTGTGTCTGTAGCACAGAGGACCAAAAGCTATCAGGTACCAAAAGTTGGTCAGCCTGGTCAGATTTGTATTCTTATGTGCTTGCTCCTTTAATAGACAGTTTCTGATTTAAATTGTAATTAAATTGCCAGTTGTACAGCAGCCCACTGAGACTGAGCAAACACTGGCTCTACATAGGGAATTTTGCGTTTTTCCACAAGTTTCATGGCCACTGTAGTTTCACCTTTGTACTTGGAAGGGGAGGTTGAAGTGAGGGGGTTGTAATCTGCAACTACACCACTAGATGCCACTAAGTCTTACACATTGGACTTTTAAATAAAAAAAAATATTTATGTATCCCCAGGTTAGATTTAGGTAAAAGTATCTCAGATATTGGCCCTATCAAATAATTTACACAATGCACGACTCTAGGCGTCTTAAATCATTAGAAACCAAATTACATCAAACAGCCATAAATCAGATTTAATTTGGTTTTTGGGGGATTTTTGCTTCATTTTGGGAGGCTTGCTGCCTGGATGTTTAATGGGGGGGAATTTGTTTGTTTGATTTATTGGACATCAATGGTCAATAAAGACACGATCATATGACTTTGATAGCAAGTGTCTACACCTAAATGTTCCCTTAATTTGCTGAGTCATGAGATATTTAGTCATTGGAGTAATAGTTTAAACTGGTTTACAGTACAGGGAGCGTTTTGATCTTCACGCATGGTCAGCTACACACAAGGAATCTGTCTCTCTGTCACACACACACACACTCATGCTTAAAAAAATACAGCAATACACCTTCACATTACCACATTCACAAAGCAATCTGAACAGACTGTGATGACTTCATGTGTTTGCAGTTTGATAGGTTATCATCAGCAACAATATTGAAGTGACCAGTGATAATCACTGACCTATTTACTAAAGTCAATAAAGCAATGATCATAAAAGGCAGTGGAAATAAAAAGCACAGCACAGGAAATGTAAAGCCTCAGGCCTTTTTATTATTTATACCCCCAGTTTCATTAAAATAGTCCGGAGAAAAGGAAATGATTGTTGTCATTAATGTTGCATAGCAGCGAGCAACACAGCACAGCGCCTCAGGTTTGACTGGTTGGGAGAGCATAAACGTGTCACTGTTAGCAGCGATATAAAAAGAAATCTGCTTTGCCACAATTTCTGTTTTTAAAAAAAGTCTCATATTAAAATTGGAAACTGACCCCTAGGACATGGTTCCATCCAGAAATAGGTTATCTCTGCCCTCTCCCTCCATCCCGCCCCCTTTCCTGGTCTTCTATTCCTCCCTTGTCCTTTTCACTCGCTCCTCTGGGACACCGTGCATGTGCACTACTGGCCACAGCTGATCGCACACTCGTGTTGCAGCAAAAAAAGGGTCCCTTTCTCACTCGCTGACGTCAACTTCCAATAATTCAATTTGGCAAAAAGAGGGGAGAGAGGAGGCCACAGGAGGACAGAGAGAGCTCAGTGTGGAGCTCCTTAAATTCACTTAAGAGTTCTATGAGACCAAGCAGGAGTCTATGACTTCCAGGAAAGTACCTCTTCAAAATGGTCATTGTCAGAGTTATATGACCATCATAAAGCGCAGATGGAAAGGCAGAAAACGCAAGTCATGCAGAAGCAAATCTGTCTGCAAATGTATTTACTGACGGCCTCTTGGCAGGATCTGATTTTCACAATCCTCTGCAAGGAATCTGAGTGCAACCAACTGCCCTCCCCCCAAACACACACACACAGCTGAACTTGGAAGCCTGAGCGGATGATGATTGGTTAAGCTTAAGATTGATCGGCCTCACAGATGCTGCAGACAAATGATAAATAGTCTGTGAGTCGTTTTGTGCGTTC